TTTTTTTTTTTTTTTTTTTTTTTTTTGAGACAGGGTCTTGCTCTGTCACTCAGGCCAGAGTGCAGTGGCACTGTTATGGCCTAGGCAGTCCTCTTGCCTCAACCTCCACAGGAGTTAGCTGGGACCACAGGTATGTGCTACCATGCCTGGCTCATTTTTTTTTATGTTTGTAGGGACAGGGTCTCCCCATGTTGCCCAGGCTGGTCTCAAATTCCAGAGCTCAAGGATCCTACCTCATTTGGACTTCCAAAGTGCTGGGATTACATGCATGTGATATACTGTGCTGGTCTGTTGTAGTTTTTTGTTTGTTTGTTTATTGGTGACAGAATCTCGCTCTGTCACCCAGGCTGGAGTGCGGTGGCATGATCTCAGCTCACTGCAACCTCTGCCTCCTGGGTTCAAGCAATTCTCCTGCCTTAGCCTCCCGAGTAGCTGGGACTACAGGCATGCACCACCACACTCGGCTAATTTTTTTGTATTTTTAGTAGAGACAGGTTTTACCGTGTTGGTCAGGCTAGTCTCGAACTCCTGACCTCAAATGATCTGCCTGCCTCGGCCTCCCAAAGTGCTGGGTTTACAGGCAGGAGCCACAATTGTAGCTTTTAATCAGGCATGATGTACAGACAGTACGGCACACAGGTCTTCAGAGTAGAGTGCAGCCCTTTTGAGGAGCCAAGAGCAGCCTGCCCTGTGGTGGAAGCGGAGGGCACAGCTGGGGGTGGGCATGAAGAGGCTGGCCAGATGATTGTGGGGACCTCTTAGGATGCTGCTGCAGTGACCACAGGTAAGCATTGATGGCAGCGTGGTCCAGGATGGCACAGTGGCGGGAACAGAGAGGTGATGGTCAAGTCAGACGTCCTCTGAACCTGAAACCAGCCTGATGGCCACCCCTTCCATGGCTCCCGCCCATCTTTAGGCTACCCAGGTCTGCAGCATCTTTCTGTTTATTCTTTCCCACAGTCGGGCAACTGCTGCCACCTTTCCGTGCCCATCTTCCCTAGGGAAGACCGGCACGAGAAGCTGCTTCTTGAAGGAGTGGGCCGGGCTACTGTCGGAGAGCCGGTCTGGTTAATCTCAGTGGGTTTGAAGCCTACGAAGGAGTTGGCCTGAGAGCCGGGCCCGGTGTGTGCCAGTTGGCGAAGGAGCAGAGAGGAGTGAGTCCTGTGAGGGCAGAGACCGAATCCTGTGTGGACTCAGCAGTTGTGTACCGCCTGCCCTGGAGCGGCCATTCGGCCTGTCCGTGTCCGGGGCTGTCTGTGGTTCCCACCTGGAGCAGCTGGGCTGGGGAAGCAGAATATTTTCTAGCAAAGGGCCTCAGCCTCAGCTGCCCTGGAGCAGGGCTATTCTTATGCTGATGAAAACTGGCTTATGGAAAAGTTACCCAGGCTGCTTCCCTGTTGACCATCTCTCAAACAGAAGGCTTCCGGAGACCCCCCAGCCCTTGCTGCTGGGAATGAAAAATGCGGGGTTTCCTGTCCATCCACTGTCCTGTGTTTTTCTTCTGGGAGGGGTGCCTCATTGGGCACCACCCCAGCTCTTACCTGTTGGGTCCCACCCACTCCTGTGAAGATTATTTTGAGACAGAGTTTGGGGTGTGGGTGTTTTTGGTATAGGGTTGGTCGATGGAGGATAATGGGATTAGAGCATTATCTGTCCTGCATCCAGGAGGCCAAGTTCTGGGTCTTGGAGCCCTGGGTGTGGTAAGCAGAGGCTCTGGAGCCAGATAGGCTGGACTCAGGCAGGCTCTGCTGCTTTTCAGCTGGTTGAACTTAGACAAGTCACCCAGCATTGCTGAGGCCCAGTTTCCTCATCTCTAAAATGGGGGTAACAGTGGTATCTTCAACGTGGAGGTACTGTGATGAGTGAATGAGTTTATCTGCACCAAAATGCTGAAGACAATGCTGAGTATGTGTAACCCCTCAGTAAATTTAGCCATCTTCCTCATCATCATCATCATCATCATCATCATCATTATTCTGAATCCTGTTCTTTGGAGGGGGCTGAGAATGGGCAAATTTTTGAATTTCTTTTCTTTTGTATGAAAACATTTACTCTCCAGGTCTTTAACCTAAACCTGTCAGACAAGTCCATGGACACTAGAAAGTGAAACCAGAGGGTGAGAGCTTCCCCTCCCTGCCTGCTGTTGCCAGTGTGGCCTGGACTGCCAGCTGGAAATGGCGGGGGTGTGACAGTGGCTGGCATTCCCCTCTCCATGACATGTTTCCTAGGTAGACAGGGCTCTGCTCCCAGGTCGCAGGCCAAGATGATGGAAGCATGTGAAAAACACAGACTTCTCGTGGCTCTGGGGAAGCCCCGGGGAGGCACCTCAGGATGCTCTGTCTGGACCCATTGGCATTTCTGGAGCCTCCCCTCACTCCTGGGTTCGTAGCTCTACCTGGAAAGTTCTCTGGAAAGTGTGGGGTGTGCAAGCCAAAGGTGCAGGCAGTGGACAGATTGAAGTGCCATTCCTGAGCCTAGCTCCTGCCTTTGGGCAAACACAGTCTCTGCCACTGCAGAGTAGTGCCTCGGCCTGGCAGAGCTCATTAGCAGCTGATGCATGACAGGAATTTCATGGCACCATCCACGGGTCCCGTGGTGTTACCGCCTGTGTGGCACGCTTCTCTGCGTGGTTTTCCAGCTTTTGTGGGCACAGGGAAAGCAGAGGCCTGGGAAGGACAGGCACCAGCTATACCCACTCCCGATGCACAGAGCCCAGCCCAACCTTAGGGAGTCCGGCACCGCAGAAACATAACACAAAAGCTTTTACTTGGAAACCGGCAAATACTGGACTAGAATACTGACATGCTTACGCTGTGGCAGGAGCTCGGGTGCAGAAGCTATTGCACAAAGCCCCTCTGATTGCCTTGCTCCTCTTTGGCATGGATCAGCAGAGCCCCAAG